AGTTTAAGCCACTGGGTCCGGGACTCAAACCACGGTTGACTACATGGGAGTCCAGCAACTAGCCATTACGCTAACTGCTGGTCCCGAGATCCAAGAGCTCTTAAAAGATCTGAAGTTCAGAAGAATGGGTCCCCTCCAGAGGGAGGTTTGGGGATGCCCTAAAGTGCAGAGGATGGTGGGATCCCTGGGAAGGTCGTGGGGTCCGATGTGGGGTGGGGAGGCTCAGGAGAATCAGAATGTGGTCCTCGGGAATTTGTCCCAAGGCCAGATCCCTGGCCCTAGGGAATTTGTCCCAAGGCCAGTTCCATGGCCCAGTGGTTAGGGGAGCCGGATCCCGCGTGGCTGAGTGTAGTTCAAGTCCTTGGCCCTGTGGTTTGAAGAGGTACAAGTGCGTGTGTGCCCCAGATCCCAACGGGATGGAGAAGTGGAAGAGAAGGGATTGTGATGTGCTCATGCCCCATGGTAACCTTATCCCTGTCCCTGTCCCTCTCTTTGTTTCTCTCTAGCAAGCGCATGTGCTCTCTGGCAACTGTACACACAGCATTCGTTTACAGAGAAGCGGCGGGGCCACCATTAGCATTTGTGCAGGCTGCGCACTGCACATTTCAGAGGCTGCCGTTCTTTTCCGTGTGAGCAGCGCCCTCTGCTGTACCGAGTGTGCACCGTGCACGATCGGTCAGCCATCGCCGGCGGTCACTGTGGGGCCTGGGCCACTCAGACTTTCCTCCTCTGCCACCAGGTCTCCCTGCAGTATGAGAAGGACGGGAACTTCCACCACACCTGTGGTGGCAGCCTCATCGCCCCCGACTGGGTCATGACTGCAGGCCACTGCATCTCGTGAGTTCTCCCCTTGCCCCGTCCCCGTGTGAGACTAGCCTGGGGCAGTGGGCAGCTACGCGGTAGGGGAGGTTGACCAGCAGGCCCAGACGCACCTACCTCCTTGCAGGAGCTCCCGGACCTACCAGGTGGTGCTGGGCGAGTACGACCGGGCTGAAGAGGAAGGCCCCGAGCAAGTGATCCCCATCAACGCCGGGGACCTCTTTGTGCACCCGCTCTGGAACCCCAACTGCGTGGCCTGTGGGTGAGTAGACGCCCAGGCCCGGGACCCAGAGCGTCCTCTACTTGAACCCTATGATCCAATGCCAAATCCGAGGACACTCTCAGGGACATTGGGGCTGAGTCCAGTAGCCTGTGCCTGGGTCCTACAATGGGGCCGCAGAGCGTCTAAGGACCATCAACACCGAGCCTGTCTCCCTAGAGGGGATGGCAGGGTCCAGGCAGGGGCAGGAACCCCCCCAAGGCCACTTGGCCACTGGCTTCAGAGCCCAGGACTCGTCTGGCCCTCTCCCCCAAATCCAAGGGCTCCCCGTTTGACAGACATTCCTCACCCAGGGCGGCCTGGGCTCCTGGCACCGTGGGGAAGAGGAGGAGCTCTGGGCTGTCGGGCCCTGGCACTGAGTCTGCGTGGACTGGGCAGTCACTGTCTTCTCTGGGCCTCAGTTTAGCCATTTATCAAAGGGTGACCAAGAAGCAGGGCTTCCGGGGGCAGCGAAGGTCAAGGAGACCATTGTAAGCCTGTCAAGTGTATGCAAGTTGGCGTGACTGGGAGGCTCAGCTTATTCTGCAGAGGGTCAAAGGGTGCAGAAGCCCTGAAAGTGCATATCGGAGTGAGGGGCTGCAGTGATCGGGACCTGGGCCATCCTCACAGGGGACGTGCAGAGAGAAGGGCCAGACCCTGCCAACCTGAGTGACAAGCAGGCAGGTGAAGACTGGGAGCCATGGTCCCTGGGGCGGCAGCACCAGCCCCACCTGGACACCTGTTAGAAACGTGAATCCTCGGGCCTCAGCCCGGGCCCAAGCATCAGAAACTCTGGGGCGAGCCCCAGTGATCTGTGCCCAGGAAGCCTCCCGTGACTCTGATGTGGCGCAAGCGCGAGCGCCATAGGCCAAGGGCAGTTACGAAGGCCGAGGGCAGTGTGAGCCTGAGGGGCTGGGAGGGCTTCCTGAGGTTTCTCAGTCTGGGGCCAGCAGGTGGCGTGGTGGTGGAGCTGGACTCCCACATGACCCACCACAGTTCCTCGACCTGGAGTCTTGAAAATCACGCTGGGTGTGTGTGTGGGTGCCCAAGATCCCAAGAAGAGAATGGAGGAGAAGGAATTGTGGTGTGGCCATCCCCCAAGGGGTGATTTCTCACTTTCCCTCTCTCTCTGGCAAGTGCATCACCCTATGACAATATAGTAATAAAATAATTAGAATAAAGTTGTTCAGCCTTAAGAACGGGTTTCCGGGGAAGAGGGACGGGGACATCGGAGGCGGGCTCGGTCCTGCAGAGGACTGGCCCTGAGGCTCTACCCTCCTCTCCAGCAATGACATTGCCCTCATCAAGCTGTCACGCAGCGCCCAGCTGGGAGACACAGTCCAGCTCGCCTGCCTCCCCCCAGCCGGTGACATCCTGCCCAACGAGACGCCCTGCTACATCAGTGGCTGGGGCCGACTGTACAGTATGTGCTGACCCCCGGCCGGCCCCAGGGACAGTGGCAGAACAGCAGGACCTGGGGTGGGGGTTGGAACACCGGGACTCGTCCTGGCACTTTTCCCCCTTCCTCCCCCACCACAGCCTCCCTCTCCCCCTCCGTGGGTGTGTCCTCCTCCCGCATGCCAGGTGCTGGGCTGCAAAGGCGCACAAAGCCTTCGGGCCGAGGGAGCAGAGTCCCCATCAAGCCAGAAGAGCTGTGTGCCTTTAAGGCCCCCCACAAGGCTTTAGCACTGCACCCCCAGACCCTACCCAGCGCTGTCTGTGTCTGTCTCCGCAGCTAACGGGCCACTCCCAGACAAGCTGCAGCAGGCCCTGCTGCCCGTGGTGGACTACGAGCACTGCTCCCAGTGGGACTGGTGGGGCCTCTCTGTGAGGAAGACCATGGTGTGCGCTGGCGGGGACATTCAATCCGGCTGCAATGTGAGTTGGCCCTCCCTGCCGAGGTGGCGCTGGCTGTGCAGGGCCCTTGCCGGCTGCCTGGAAGGTGGAGGAGGCACCTGGCCTGTTGGCCCCACTGAGCCTCCAGACCAGGCAGTGCTTAGAGGGAGTCAATGTAGTCTAGACACAACCCAGGCCTGGGAGTCAGGTAGGACCTGTGAGTTGCACTTAAGCATTGAGAATACCGTCACTGGGGACCAGCAGAGGGCATAACGGCTATGTCGCTGGACTCCCACGTAGTTGACCGCAGTTCAAGTCCTGGACCTGGTGGCTTTAACCTCACGCCGGGCGTGTGTGCGTGTGTAACCAAGATTCTGAGAGGAGAATGAAGAAGGGATTATGGCATGGCCATCCCCCCTGGGGGGTGATTTCTCGCTTTCTGTCTCTCTGTCTCTCTGGTGAGTACATGTGTCCTATAGCAAAAATCTCTCTTAATAGAAGGAAAGAATACTGTCACTGAAGCCAGCCTGTAGCACAATGTTTAAGCACTGGGCATTAGGAGCAAGGTCCCAAATGGCTGACTGAGGTTCAAGTTCGAGCTCCAGTGGATTGAAAAACACACAATGAGTGTCTGCAGGTGTGCCCCAAAGGAGGGAGAGGTGGATTGCAATGTGGCTCTGTCCCGCTGGGCTCTCTCTCTCTCTCTGTCTCTCTCTCTCACAAGTGCGTGTGCCTCCTGTCCATTTTCTTTTTAAAGATAAAATATCAAGGGACCAGCAAATGATGTAATGTTTATGTTGCTGGACTCCCATGTAGCTGACTGTGTTTCAAACCCTGGACCCAGAGCCTTAAAACTCATGCTAGGTGTATGTGCGCGCATACCCAAAATCCTGAGAGAATGGAGGGGAAGGGAATCCCCCACAGGGGGGTGATTTTTCAGTTTCTGTCTCTCCAGCAAGTGCGCACGCCCCATAGTAAAAATCTCTCTTAAAAAAGATGAAATATCAAGACCAGCAGGTGGTGTGGTGGTTAAGGCGCTGGACACTCCCACATGGCCGACCAGGGTTCAAGTCCTGAATCCGGTGGCTTGCTTTCTCACTTCCTCTCTCTCTCAACCTTTGTCTCTCTCTGGTCAAATTTAAAAATAAATGAATAAATAAAATAAAATAAATAATTATTAAATTAAAAAAAGATAAAATATTGGGGCTAGCAGATGGCAGAATGGTTACATCGCTGGACTCCCATGTAGTCCACTGTGGTTTGAGTCCTGGACCCAGTGGCTTAAAACTCATGCCAGGCACGTGTGTGTACACACCCAAAATTCCAAGAGAAGAATAGAGAAAAAGGGATTGCAGTGTGGCCACCTCCACCCTCAGTGGGTGATTTCTTGCTTCCCATTTCTCTGTCTCTCCAGCAAGCCCATATGCCCTATAGCAAAAATCTCTCTCAAAAAAATAAAAAAGATAAAATATCAATAAACTTAAAATATCACTGGCTCTGCCACAGTGCCGCGGGCAGTCATGAGAGAGACCGTGTGGGAAGGCCTACAATCCTGCCTGGCTTGAGGGCCCTCTCCCTCTGTCTCTTCTCTGTCTCTCAGGAAAAGGAAAAAAAAAAAAAAGAAGAAAAAGAAAAAGAATACTAACACTGTATTATGAGTATGAATAATAATACTAATAATTAACTGTTACCAGTAATGAGAACTACCATTTATCAGGGCTTCCTCTTGCTAGGTGTTGTGCAAAAACAGTGTATCATCTCATTTACTTCTCACGAGCTCTTTCTTGCTATTATTCCCCATCACAAATGAGCACAAAGGTTCAGAGAGGCCAAGGAACGTTGGGGGTCTCAAAATCCTGACAGCTTGGAAGTGATTCCTCAGACCCCAGACCCAGTTCAGACTCCTGTCTCTGCTCACCCCAGGGTGACTCTGGAGGGCCTCTCAACTGCCCCGCAGCGGACGGCAGCTGGCAGGTTCACGGCGTGACCAGCTTCGTCTCCGCCCTTGGCTGCAACACCATCAAGAAGCCCACAGTGTTCACCCGCGTCTCGGCCTTCAACGACTGGATCCAGGAGGTGACGCAGACTGGGTGGCCCGGAGGGCTTCAGGGTGGTGGCTCTTCTGAGAGCACTGTGGGTCGAACAAGAATAGCAGATCCCAAGGAGGGCCTGAAGATCTCCTAGAAGGGGTTCTTGAAACACTCCGGAGGAGTCGGGATGTTTTCTGCTAATCTGGATGGCCTCTGGGGGGGAGCTTTGAGCTGCACTCCCTTACTCTAATGAGAGTCTGTGAGGCGCCTCCTCTGCCCTGCCTCCTTTCTGACATGGAGGATAGAGAGAGGGTAGGCAAAGGGACGGCCGGTGGGGCCAGATGATGAAATGAGCAACCAACGCGGTGTGGTGAGAGCCACGGTGGGGCTCAGACCCAGGGAGAGCGCAGACCCGCCTGCGAGATAGCGCATCTTTTTGGTAATGAGAAACTGTAAAAGGTGGCCTGAGAGCACCGATATTCACCCTAGCAGCAGTAGCCGGATTCGTAGAGTCCTTAGACTTGTGCCACGTGTGGTGACTAAACCCGTAGATAGTTGATTCAAGAACTCCCATGAGGTTCGACTATTACCACCCTCATTACATAGATGAGAAAACCGAGGCTCAGAGAGGCCAAGTCCCTCTTCCGGGGTCACACAGCTAATGGGTGGTGGGGCCGGGCGTTGAACCCAGTTCCATCTGACTCCCAGCACCTCTGCTTCTCACTAGACTATTCCGTTTCCCCAACTTCTTTTTTTTTTCCAGACCATTGCAAACCACTAGAACCAAGGCCCGGCCGGCAGTGTCAATTCCATATCCTCTATAAAGAATAAAGATCTCTTAGAAAATCCGAATCGAGTATTTCTTCCTTTATCGACTCACCTCTTCCCCTCTGGCCTGAAGTCTCAGATCTGAGATGCAGAGATGAGACCAATCCCAACCAGCTCATGGGACGGGGAAACGGAGGTGCTGTGACCAACCGTCCCGGGGTGCCTGGGAGCGAGGGGTTCCCAGGCACAGGACTGTCAGTGCCAGAACTGAGACAGTCCCGGGAACACTGGGACATGCTGGCCACACAGGTAATAGTCACACACAGTCAGTGGCTTCTCAAGGCAGGCACAAAGATGTGGTAAAGTCTGCACGGAAACCGCGCCTGCCAGACCTCCGAGGCTCGTGGTAGAGTGGGAAGGACCCTGTGTTTTCTCTGTCCATTGACGGGCTGGGAGAAGATGACTGTGGTCACTTATTCACTCAACAAACATTCATGCCAGAGGAGGGCTTAGAGGGGAAGGAAGATGCTGTGCCCGCCCCTGTGTGACTCACTATTGAAGGAGAAGTGAGCGTGTCAGACTCCATAAGGATGTGCTAGGAGTGCAGCGGACAGTGCAGGCCGTGAGTACACAGGCGAGTCAGACACCCAGGGGGAGCCCACGCAGGTGCACGCATGGCCGGAGCCCGCAGTGTTGTGGCTGAAAGACCACAGCCGTGCGGACAGAAGCGGCAGAAGAACAGGTGCATCTCACTACTCACGTGTCTCCGGAACACCAGCCAGACTGCGCATACATTAAAAAGAATTAAAAAAAAAATTTTTTGCCATAGGGTTTGTGCACTCACTAGAGAGAGAGAGAGGGAGAGAGAAAGTGAAAACTCACCCCTCAGAGGGGAGGGTCACGCTGCAATCCCTTCTTCTCCAGTCTCCGCTCAGCATTTTGGGCATGCACACATACATGCCCAGCATGATTTTCTTTAAGACACTTTTTTAAAATTTAATTTTAGTTATTGTTATTATTCAATTTGATGAGAGAGAGAGAAAAAGAGAGAAAACAAGCTGCCAGGCATGGGACTCGAACAATGGTCAGTCATGGGGGAGTCCAGTGCTTTAATCACCATGCCACCTGCTGGCCCCAACCCCAGCATGATTTTCAAGCTCTTGGGTCTGGGACTTGAACTGTGGTTGGCCAGGTGAGATCCAGTGCTTTAACCACCATGCTGCCTACTGACCCAATGTACGAATAATTTTTAATATGAATATCCCATTCGTACCCTCTTTTAAAAAAGTATACTTTCAGGGCCAGCAGGTGGTGTGGTGGTTAAAGGCACGGGACTCTCACATGACTGACTATGGTTCAAGTCCTGGACCTGGTGGCTTGTTTTCTCACTTTCTCTCTCGCTTTTTATCTCTCGCTTTGTCTCTGTCTCTGATCAAACTGGAAAATAAAGTTAAATAAAATAATTATTTTATATAAGTCTTTTTCTAAAAGAATTCTTTATTTAATTTAATTCCATTTGTTACCCTTTTTTTTTTTTTGGAGAGATTTTTTGCTATAGGGTGCGGGCGCTCGCC